AAAGATCGTTCCGCTGCTCAGTTTCTCATGCAGTCATCTGTTGTAATCAGGAGGTCGTGGAGTTAATCACATCTACTGAAAACGGCAATCTACTGTTGGGTCTAAACCGATCTTCAGAAACGAAAGCTGTTGCTGCTAAGAAAACTTTTCGCTTGTATTGTCGCGACCACGCAAAAGGTGCTCCTCCTACCCCAGAGAACTGGGTGTATAGAAAAACCTTCAGAAGCTTTGTTACAGCTCCAATCCTTTATCGCGGTTTGACTCTACATTTGAGTAATTATGGTACTTCTCTAGAGCTTTTTATAAACAAGTTTGTTTTCACCAGTACGCCAGACTTTTAGTCCACACATCAGCCTTTTGGCCCATGGCCAGATAGAAAGCGTTCAAAAACCGCGACTTATTCCGATGCCGTCGCTCTTTTCGCTGAAGAAATGCCCCACATTGCGTTGAAATGCCACTTAGTGTGCCGCCTCCTGGTTGATTATGAAGAAAGCTTGATCTTCTCGATTTTTGGACGCCTTGTGCTGTAATATAAGTAATGCACATGGTCGGCATGGTTTCGCACCTCATCACAGCAGCTTCCCAGGAAAAAAGTGCAATTCGGTGATAATTATTTGGTCTCAAACGAGCCCTTTATTTCACAATGTGATGAATGGGACTGAGAAAAGTGGGACTTCGGTGGGACCCCACCATATGCTTCCCACCTCGATTGCATTACAATGTCGTGACCGCTGACAAAAGTACTCCCTAGACGTCAGCCTTATTGCTCTGAAAAATGCCGCCCACCGTGGTCGTTTGATGAGGCCATCAGGAAGCGGTGAACCACAAGCGCTGAACCTGCCTTTCTTCTTTTCGACAATTGCCCTTTAACGCCGCAGTTTGCGCTCAGAAAGTTATCGCAAGAACGCTGAGTTATGAGCAAAAGCCTTTACCTCACGCGGATTTCAAACCTGCACCGAATACAGCCCTCTCCCTAATAGCTTTCATGTCATAACCTCACAACGCTCCACGTGATGAAGCATTAGGCGTTAACTATCTCTTTCTTAGAGCACACCATGTATTCTGCACGTTCTCGGAATGGTGGTGTCATATGGATGCGATTTGGCCCTTACAATGAAATTCGGTCTTGCCAACCTTGTTCGCTGCGGAAGCTAAAGCGTTCCAGGGGGAGGGAGCGGGTTTGACGCAGCGCCAGCCTGCTCTCCACCAATTGTGAAAGCTGCGGAAGCTAGCAGGCGGACAGAATTGGTGAATAGGTTGACTTCGCGTCGAACTTAGTCCCCTCCCTTAAAACACAGCCCGGCTGAAACCAGCTCCGAAGAGAGCAAGGCTGTATACAGTGGGGGGGGGCCAAAAAAGTCACTTTCCTTCATTGACTTTCGAGGCGCTATAAGTTACACTTTATTAAATTCTGATCGGACATTTTTACCACCATATTAAAGAGCATATTAAATACTATCATGACACTCCGCCACAGCCTTCTGGACGAGCGCCATCGAGAGATTCTGGCACGCGACCGCGATGTGGTGCCTGAGATCAGCGAGATAGTCGATTTCTCAGCGAGATAGTCGATTTCTCCGCCACCGTAGACCACCCTATTGAACTCCGCCCGAACCGGGTAATTGAGGGGATTCAGGTCAGGTGACCTACTTGGATATTCCATCTTCTTTAGGTACTCAGCCCCCTTCCATTCCAAGTAGGCGAGAGTTTCTCCAATGCCCTTCGATTCCATGTGGTGGCACCCAATGCTGTAGCAGTACAAAGTTTCCAAGAAGGTACGGGCGACGACATGTGAGGAGGATATTCTTCACGAGTTGCTCGATGTAACCGCCAGCGCTCACCTTCAGTCCGGGGTCCACGAAGAAAATATTGGTCTTTCCATTCCAGGTACGTCCGGTCCATACCATCAACCCGCGCCTTGGCGACTGCGGTGAAGATGATGTCCTAGACCGTGGCGACATTGTCGGAGCTGCTCAATGATGGAGATCTTCCAGATCGAGAGTACTGCTCTCCAGGTAGCTATGGGTGACTCCATACTAGAAGTTTCGCAGCTGTTTGGAGGTGACATGAATTCCAAAGGTCTTCTCCAGTCAGGCTGCGACTGGAGATGACTTCATATTTTGGTGTACATGAAGGTGATGGCGAGCGCCAGCTCCTGCTTATAGAGGAACATCTTGGGTATCTTCCGCCCTGGTACTCGTATCCACGTCCTCTGTCTGGGCAGCGAAAACTTTGCTGATATGTGACTCGGTCGAAGTGACTTTTTTTGCCCCCCCCCTGTATGTACGAGTTACCTCAACCTCGGTGGTAAGGAACTTGTACGCCCAAGGTGACTCCCTTACCCGCTACCCGTATGGGGATACTGTACAACCTTAGAAGTCCAAGCTCATCTATCAACTCCCTTTTCAGTTCTCTCTCTTCTTTACATTCAGTTATCCCCAATTCAACACACTGGAACTAGAGCAAGGATAAGGAGACAGTGAGGGAGACACCTCCCCTGACTTTGCGGGAAACTCGAAGACACGTTTTGCGATTACAGTCCGCAGATTTTCCGATTGATATAGATTTCTATTTTTCGGAATTGTAAATTCTAATAGCCTTAATATCAAAAAAGGATTGGTGTAAAACTGTCAAAGACGGCAAATTAAGAGCTTCTGGATTGAACGGGTATTCGAAGAAGCGAGGCAGTGCTCAGCGGGCGAGGGATCAGAGAAAAATGATGACGTCGGTCCTACACAGAGTGAGCACAGCGCGACACCTGCAATCATTATTATGTGACCGTCGGCATCTGTTCTCCCAAATGAGTAAGGCCACTTCTGTGGGCCGCATTGACGTCTCCAACGCCCTCGTAACTCATGGTTGAGTAGCAGAAGTGGGATAATACCCGAGACTGTCAGCCGAACTGCTTGTTTAGTTGGAATGTTGCAAGCAGTCGTGGGGAGGGGGTGGGGTGGAGGTGTAAGGAGAAGCGAAATAAGTCCGCCTCCTTCTGCCTCTTATACAAGTAGTGATTGGGGTTGGTGATAATTTCCAGAAGAAACAACAGGTGGTGAACCGCAGCAGGTGTGTTCAATCCATGCCTCTTGGCACCGGCATCTTATGTGCCAAGCAATAGAATGCCGAGGAACTCGAGGATGGTGTATATCTTATATCATGCCCAGCCAAGCTATCTCACACCAGATTTCGATGCAAAGGCGCTAGTCCCAGATAAGGCGGACTCGTGCATTAGTGAGAGGGCGAAACATTGGGTAATGTAGAAGGACAGGAGGTGATTGTGGCGGGTACAGAATCTATCAAGAACTTTGGAGCTCCGATTGCTTTTCACTCTCAAGGTCATGTAATAAGTAAGTTATGAAAGAGAACAAGGAAGAAATGAAATTACGTTTTCAGTGACATAAATTGATACTAAGTTGGAAAATGAAAGCTGAAGGACTGTCACAATCCAACTGTTTTATGATACAACACTTGTTCCATCACATGACTGGCCCTTGCCTTCTCCTCTCTGCACTTTGCTATCTCTACTCAGTTTCCCCCATTCATCCGCTCCAATGGTAGCTCCACCAGTCCGTTTTCCTGAACATCGTTCGAATAATTTTTGTGCTCAGTTGCCTTTCCTCCGTAATAACAGTTTCAGTTTTGTATTGCTTATTTAACCCAAAAGTGTTAGTTCACAAAACTAACTTCTAATGAAGACCAGCTAAGAAACATCTTGTCCACCTCTTTCGTAAAAAGTGTAGAGAATAAGGCTATCGCTTGGGTATGTGGCAAGAGGATCACAATTCGCCGCGCCAGTGGGCTTCGCGTGCGACGTCGCGCCTGCTAATGACGACGATCTTAAGTGGTACTGAATGAGAATAGGCAATATGACCAGAAAAGAGATGTAAGTGTCATCCATGTCTTTGTCTACATGAAATGCTCCATTCAAGGTAGTGCGAAATCAAGGCAAACGTGGGCCCCTCTGGCCCGCCGGACGAACGGCCTATTTTCGCCCCTAATCCCTATCGAATCCTCTTTGAGACGCACCACGCATTAACTTCCTATCAGCATTACCAAAACTTTAAACACACTTTTACACAATAAAACCTGAAAATTTTATTATTAAATCTTAAAGTTAAAATAAAAATAACTCTCAGCCTTTATAACAGAATCCTCGTTGTTCACACTTCGATCGCAGTAAGCGCGCAATGCGTGTAACTCATGTGGGCCACATGATCTCCCTAGATGATCGACGTTCACATCCTCCCTTATAGGATTACCAACTAACCGTACTCGAAGAGATGAAAGACCCAGTAGTTTGTCGTTCCGAGCTCAGAGCACGATGACGATGTGAATACTGTCACTGCCATCACGATCCCCCTTTCGCAATTCACAAGGAGAATCGTCGAAAATAGAAAATGATTGGTTGCCAAATCGAACAAACGAGAAATATCAAGGGCGGGCGGGTGAAAGCAAAGTGGTACTACAGCTTTCATTTCGCACGTGCCCTTAGACGAGGAGCCGAGCAAAAGCAAACTCCACCCGATAAACCTCAACCCTTTTACATACTACGCATAATCCGACCCGTATCGCCAGTTTTCCCTGGATTATTCCCTCATTAAGGGCATGGGGCATCCTGAAAAAGAAGCTTCTCACCTCTTGTCTTATAAATCAATTATCGACCCCCCCCCCTAGAACCCTACTTCGATCCCGCTCCCTTCTTCATCTCATCTTCTTCAGACGTTCAGATAAGGATTTCACAGTGATGACCATTACTGTACAAAGATTTAATTACCGGACTGTACGCAGGCTGTGCGGCGTCATTCGCCATTATACAGCTCCCCATTCTACCGTATCTGACTCCTTTCTATGAATGCTTGTTAAAATACCTTTACAAGCCTCTCTTACCTTTAACAATCAACCCAGGTCGATGGGATGAAGGAAGTGGTCTTTCGTACCACCGCACTATTTCTTCTTTTTCGTCACTGTTTCACTTAAATTGATTAGGTTCTCTTATTCCAGAAATGGATGACAAACATAAATTGGGTGTTCTCGGTGCTACGTCGTATGTGATTGGCAACATCATCGGATCGGGTATATTCATTACACCTGCTTCAATACTCAGGTGTTTTAAAAATTCACTTACACTCTGATACAGTCACCCGTATATACACAAATATCAATCCTTATATAGATCAATAGGTCTTAATACCCCTGGAGGAGGCATTTGAGGGGGGCTTTCGCAAAACTGAGATTACTGTAGTTCGAATGGAATGACCACGTTTGATTTCGTCCAACCACCGCGGATCTCATTCCTTTCTTTAGTGTTGTGCAATAGTCCGCAGTCACAGTAACTCTAGGTGTGCACCAGGAGCCCCTAGAATGCCCTTTCCAAGTTTATTAGCACCCATCATAAGATTGTTAGTCGAACATAGACTAGTACAAACCTCTCCTTTTTTGTAGAATAGATATATCCCATGATATCTTACTGTACACGCATTTCTTGGCCATAGGACTTGGGTTAAATTTGAGAGGTGAAATAAAAACCGGAAATTTGAAGAAGAAATCCTCTATTTCTTTCCCTCAACGTTGTCCGAATTGTAGAATTTATTTTCGAGTTTCATCGCTTCCTTTGAGGTGTACGGACAGCGTCGGTTTGTCACTTGCGGTATGGGTCGCCTGTGCTCTCATCGCTATTCTCGGTAAGTTTATTGTGGGAACACTTCTGTGAGTTTCCCCGTGAGCCCTAAATTTTTTACTCTCTCCTACTCCCCCTCCTTCGAACGCGCTTATTTTGGGGGCCTCTGGTTCTTAATGTAGTGTGTTCTGTGGTGTGTTCGGACAAGTGTCACCCTGAAAACCTGCAGGAGAAAACATAACCATCAGGTCGTCATATAAGAGGATGCCTAGAGCACGGCAAATCATTGCGATTGGGGGATTTTCTCTGGATACGAACTTGGCTCCCTGCATTTATTCTTCAGTACAACCC